ACTTGTTTTTCTGTAATATTTATTTAAATATAAAGGCACACTAATAGGGACAGTTACCCTAATCTTAGTTCATATTTTTCTTGTCTNACAGGAACTCTACTCGTATATCTCGCATGTACTCCGATAATAATAATTTACGAAAAACTATACAAGAACTAACAGAAACAAATACCAGGTTATCAGGAGAAATTACAGTGGTAAAAAGTAAATTACATGTATTAAAAGAAACTGTTAGAAAAGACAACATAATTTTTCGGATATTATACTTAGGAGAAGTAGCCCGGAAAGTGCGGCACCATATTCAAAGAAACATTTTATTTAAGAATACTTCGGTAAATAAATTTTCGCTATTTGACTTTGATAGAAAAGTAGATAATAATTTAATCTATCTAACGGAAGACGAAAAAGAAAGGTGGAAAGCGTTTCGAACAAGCTTAAAAACTGAAAATATTGATCTTCCAGTTTTGAATAAAGCCTTACAAAACGTCCGACGTTGGAGAAATCACATAGCGCACCCACAATCTCCAACGATAAGTCTGGACGATATAGATAGTACTATAATTTAGGAAGTCAGATTAGCGGAAATTGAAAAAATATTCAAATATATTTTGTACAATTTGTAAAATTTTCGGAAATCCGGAAACGATATTGTTGAACGAGATTCGCTTAGCTCGCAAGTGACAAGCACTTCTGAGAAAATGAACACGGTTGAAAAGAAAATGACAACTTCGATGCAGATGGAACTTACTACACCGATGACTGCTTCTGATGTAAAAGATGATCTGGTAAAAGTACCGACAATCACTTATGATATGCCTAACAAGAAGAAGGATGACGTTCTCGATAAGGAAGAAATCGCGATCAGTCACATAATCTCTATTCTTAATGACACGCCGAAATCGGAAGTATCGGTGACTTTGCCGGTGCCTAATTCCTCTCCAGGTCAGTCCTCTTGGGTGAGCATCGACGAAACTGCAAAGCCCGTTCANCACTTAAAGATCAGTTTACCGAGCCATCGACCCACCACGCCCTCGACGTCTTCGACTTTCCCTTACACTTTTTACAAACCCAGCTCACTTCACAGTCTTTCCTCGACGTATTACAATTACGAACTCGTTCCCACTGAAACGACCTACACGTCGCAGCATTCGACCTTTAGCAACTCGCACGTCTCGCGGCCGTCCACGCAAACCACTTACTCTGGCGCTTCCAGCGGTGTTTTCTCGACCTACTCTGGCAATCGTCCAACAACGAATCCTCCGGCGCCAACAGTAATAGTTCTTGGCCCACTCGGAACAGAATATACTACGAGAACTACTCAGAAACCTATAACGAGAAAACCCTCCGGCTCGTCTCCTTCTACCAAGCCCGTAGTGATTAAAACTACTCCCGTAAAAACTCAAACAGTCAGACCCACCACGCTGGTTAGCACCAAGAAGCCCAGCGTGTCTACCACTATCACTCATAACATCAGCACCGTCATCTCCAACGTTGTAACTAGCAACAATGTGGTCTCCACCAGCTACATCAGTGTCAATCTGAAGGACGGCACCAGTGCGAAACCAATAGTCGAGGTCAGCACCGAGGCAATCGCGTCGCAAACTGTAAGTACAAAGGACCGACCGACTACAAAAAAGCCTGTAATCTGGACCACGCTCTCTTCGTGGTCGGACAAGCCGTCGTTCCGTCCAAAACCGTCGACGCCCAGCTTTCATTGGCCGGATAAAAATTTGACGCCGGTCAACAATGTTATTATCAAAGACACTACAATCGACTTTAAGGCTACTACCAGCACACCATGCGATGACGAAACCGCAGCGCCGGACGATCTCATCAACTTCCCGCCAGTGCGAAACCCGAATCTCAACATCTCTATGCCAATCTCGCAGCAAGAAAAACCGACCATTGTCGAAATATATAACAACACCGGATATCCGGACATCGAGCTGATCAGCGAGAATGACATTCCGACGCCTACTTTTATC